CCAAGAGATTAGCATGACCCAGCAATTATTTATATTTTACTAAAAACGTGTAAATACAGTTGCCTATACACAGATCATATTTTTTTGTCTATATTTATAGAATAAGTGCTGCAACAGTTAAAACAAGGGGGCCATAGGCCCCAAAGCGCTCAACATACAAAGTATATATATATGCACTTTCACTTTATGGTCCTTTGAATCTAATGATATATCAGGTTTGACCTAAAATGGTTGTGGTAGGTAGAACTCATCAAGGTGTATCCACATATAAAGTTTTTGAGAAGTGGTTTGAAAAAATTAACAGCTCATGCACAAACTCACTAGGGATGCGAGAAAATTTGTGGTCACTAAAGCTCACCTTGAGATTGCTGAGATAGGTCCAATTTTTTCAAAGCAAAAGTAAACAAGAAATGTCGAACAACACATATGCCCCCCTCCCCCTCCTTTGAAGCCCTTTACTCTTTCAATTGGTTATTTTGTTATAGAAACATGCAATAAATGGGTACATGCAAGTGTTCAGTTACGGAAAAATAAAAATAATGACCAATATATGACCTGAAATTGAATGAAAGCTATCATTAGTAAGTTATACAAGTTGGAGGGTAGCTGGATGGTACCATGTTAAAGAACTAACACAAAATATTATGCAAAGTATGAAGACTTTTTTCAAGACATCAATTTTATAGATATCTATTTGATTCATGACATTCTAGGTTCTTGTGACCTTGACCATAAACCAAGTGTACCTAAAATGCACGTCGTGAGGTTACTGTGACCTTGACCTTGACCTAGTGACCCTAAAATCAACTAGAGCTATCACTTAAGGTGATGAATACCCCCACCAGCAACTTGGACTTTTAAAAAAAAAGTGGTCTGAAGAAAAATTTGGCTGGAAACCATTTTTCTATTTTTAGTAACAGTGACCTTGACATTAACCCCATGGGGTCCAAATGCAATACCAAGCCGGGTCTTTATTTAAGCTTGCTAAACACCATGTTTGATTACAATATCTCATTCCTAACTCTTGTTACTGTCCGGAAACCATTTTTCTATTTCTAGTAACAGTGACCTTGACCCTAGGGGGTCCAAATGCAATACCAATCCAGGTTTTTATATAAGCTTGTTATATACCAAGTTTGATTACAATATCTCATCCCTAACTCTAGTTATTGGCTGGAAACCATTTTTCTATTTTTAGTAATGGTGACCTTGATCTTGACCCTAGGGAGTCCAAATGCAATACCAACCAAAGTCTTCATATAAGCTTGTTTTATACCAAGTTTTATTATAATATCTCATTCCTAACTCTAGTTATTTCCCGGAAACCATTTTTCTATTTTTAGTAACAGTGACCTTGACCTTGACCCAAGGGGGTCCAAATGCTGTACCAATCCAGGTCTTCATATAAGCTTGTTATACACCATGCTTTATTACAATATCTCATTCCTAACTCTAGTTAATGGCCGAAAACCATTTTTCTATTTTAAGTAATGGTGACCTTGACCCTAGGGGATCCAAATGCAATACCAACCTGTTACTTTATATAAGCTCACTATATAAATGTTTGATTACAATATCTCATTCCTAACTCTACTTATTGCTCATAAACCATTTTTCTATTTTTAGTAACAGTGACCTTGACCTTGACCCTAAGGGGTCCAAATGCAATACCAACCCAGGTCTTCATATAAGCTTGTTATAGACCAAGCTTTATTACAATATCTCATTCTTAACTCTAGTTAATGGCCGAAAACCATTTTTCTATTTTAAGTAATGGTGACCTTGACCTTGACCCTAGGGGATCCAAATGCAATACCAACCTGGGTCTTCATATAAGCTCGCTATATACAATGTTTGATTACAATATCTCATTCCTAACTCTAGCTATTTTCCGGAAACCATTTATCTATTTTTAGTAACAGTGACCTTGACCTTGACCCTAGGGGGTCCAAATGCAATACCAACCAGTGTTTCCACATAAGGTTGCTATATACCAAGTTTGATTACAATACCTCATTCCAAACTCTAGTTATCGTCCGGAAACCATGATGTAGACCAACCGACCGACCAACAAGCTGACTCCTATATACCCCCCCCCCAAAAACTTCGTTTGTGGGGGTATAATAATGGTCATCTACTAGTTATGACCAATCAGTATGTAAAATTTGAAGACTGTGTGATAAATAGTTTTCAAGGTAATCAGCGGAACGAACCATTCTGACATTTAAGGCCCCTGTGACCTTGACCTAGTGACCCCAAAATCAATAGGGGTCATCTACTAGCTATGACCAATCAGTTTGTAAAGTATGAAGACTTTGCAATAAATAGTTTTCAAGATAATCAGCGGAAACCATGTGGTCTACCGATGGATAGACAGCCTGACAGACAGACAGACATAAACAAAACAATATACCCCGTCTTCTTCGAAGGGGGGCATAATAATTTGGTCAAAATCTTTTTTTACTCCAGTCCCATAAAATATATAATTTTATTAGACTTCTGCTGAGGCAGGGTCAATTTTGACCCCAGGGACATAATTTATGTAACTTTTGTAGATTAACATAAGGTGGCAAATTTCTAAGCACTAAGCATGGCATTTCATTCCGAGATTTTTAATCAATTTATTTTTAAAATCTATTTTTAACTTTTGTGACCTACTTATTCATTAAATTTGACACATCTATAAAACTATTGTAGAAATTCTATATTGACCCTAGGGTCATGATTAATATATCTTTAAATGGATTTTAGGCAATGCTTCATGCCAAATATTTAAGCTCTAGGCTTTGTAGTTTATGAGAAGATTTTTAAATATTGCATTTTTTTTTATAGTCTATTTTGAGCTCCTGTGTCCTACTGATGCATCAGACTGAAATTGTTCACACAACTTTAAGTTTACTTTGAAATGCTACAAGCAAATATTTTATCTCTGGGCATTGTAGTTTTCCACCAGAAGGTTACAATGTGTTTTCTATATATAACTTTCACAGAGTAAATGACTTCGGGGTGGGGCAAATTTTCACCCCAGGGATATGATTTATTTAACTTTTGTAGAGGAACACAAGGTTATGCTACATAAACAATATCTTAGCTCTGAGCATTGTTACGTTTATGAAATAAAGATTTTTAAAGATTTCATTTCAAAGTCTTTTTTTTAGCTCTTGAGACATACTAGAAACATTTGTTTTGTGGAATTGTACTAGGTTAAATGCCAAATATTTAAGCTCTGGGCATTATTGTTTTCCACAAGGAGATTGAAATGTGTTTTGCTAAATAACTCTATATAGACTAAGTGACCCTGGAGAGGGATCAATTTTGACTTAAAGTGACACCTTATAAAAACAGACATATATATGTTCAATTGATCACTTTCATTAAGCGCAAAACGTATTTTCTTACTCGAAATTTGTCTTAGAAACTTTTATTTTTGCGTTTGAACATTGACCTCAAGAATATGAAAACGAAAGTAGTATTTTCCAATCCATTTAAAAATAGAAGAAAATGACTGACGGGCATTGTGGATAAAAGCTAAAAATGTCAACAACCGACAGTGCAAGAAGTGTTGGTGTAAATTATTCGTTTATTTGTTCGAGATAAATTATGTATTGCATAGAAATTTGCGATTTCATCGAATGTAAAAAGCTGTGTTTCATTGATTTCAAACTATGTTTATGGATACATTTTTTGTATAAAAGTTATGTGTTCGCCAAGTTAACAAACTTTCACCTTCTCCCACCGCTCAAATGTGGCCTTAGACACCCTCACCACTTTTTACACTGCACTTTATCTAAGATATTTACGACTGGCAGCTTGTCTTCCTTCTTCACATTCATTTTTCTTCCTTTTTTGATAACTCATTTTCTTCTACACTCAAGGTTTTGTTTACATGTATTGCGCACACGCTATCTTATTATAATCAGTTCTGTTTTTAGACTTGGGTTTTTGGAAAACTGATGTGGAAGTTACTTCTCTTATTTTTCAAATCATAAAAGCTCACAAATTGCTGTTTTTTTCTTATATCTTTTAATATTTCTGATTAAATGAGTCATTTCTTAATGTTTTGAAAGGCTTTCAGTTTTTTGGTCTGTTTTTGGTGCATCATTTATAACGTGTCACTTTAAGGGACATAATTTACATTACTTTTGTAAAGGACTTTAAGGTAATGTTAATTGCAAACTATCTTAGCTATGGACATTGCTGTTTATGAGAAGACTTTAAAAATTCCACTTTTAAAACTTTTTTATCACTTGTCACTTACTTACGCATCTGACTGGAACCATTTGTTTAACTTTTGTAGAGGGTTAAAGTAGGTTCTTTTTAAACTGCTTTATTAGTATTTTCCAGTACTTGATTCTGTTGTGAAGAACTTGTTAAGAGTAAGTTTTAATTATGAGACCCATTTTTCCCCAAACATGCCAAATGATGCAAATTTTCCCCAAGAAAAAGGCTGGGGCTTCTGCCCCATTAATGGTGTTCTGGCCTTGGTCACATAAGGATCATTGCAGAGAAGTTTAGTTAAAATCAATCATGTGATTTAGAAGGACATGTTGTTTATAGAAATTATGAACAACAATGAACGTTGGATGCCGGAATACTTCCCCATCACAAAGCTCACCCTGTCACTAAGTGACAGGTGAGTTAAAGACAAAAGAAAACTAGAACTGTGTCCAAAGGACACGAATGCCCCCACTGACATTATCAATTAATAATGGTTATCATTTCTGCCTTAAAGTTTAAATTTCCTTCCATCTGTTCAAAGGTACAAAACAGACTTAAATGTGCATACAGACAGAACTATTTAGATTTTGATATTTTTGTGGGTACTTTATTGATTTCCCTATTGTTCTTTTAGCTAAATAATAGAACAAATAGCCACACGAGATTTCAGAAAGAATAACATCTAAGAAAAAAAATTACCCATTGTTTCCTTAAGTATTCAAATGTAGGCACAGATTGCCAGACAACTATATACCAAAGTACATGATAAAGGCAAAGCCTACCAATACTTGTGTCTGCATAACGTCCTGTGATAGGTTGTTCACAGCAAGGACATCGCTGCCATTTTATTCTCCCATGGTACTGTTTGTCAACAATATATGTCTGATTAACTGCCAATTGTCGCAAGAGATGATGAGCCAATGTAATTGTCCAATCAACCTCTTTCTGTGATTTTGCATTTTTCAATGCTTCCTCAATATCTGCAGAAAATAATGTACACTACAGTGTTAATGTTACTATCATACAACAAAGAAATGATTACTCTAAACCCTTATCAATTTTTCACATTATTTAAAGTTTATTAAAGGAACCAGTGGCCCTTAAGAGTTCACCTGAGGACAAAAGGGCATTGTTGCACAGACCATTTTTAAAGTGTCAATTAATCATTAAGTAATATTTAAAGCTATCATTATAACGAAATAAAAATGCCTTTTGTCAATAGGATGTGTTTGATGATTTCTATAATACATGACATATTCTAGGCTTACAGGCATTCGCTCAGGAAGTACTGATTTCTAGAGATGAGCTCAAGAGCATTTTTAGCATTGTAAGAGATATGTTTCCATTCTTTTTATGGAGATAATAATAAAATTTTGGAATGTTTTCTCAAAACAAGAGGGCCATGATGGCCCTAATTCGCTCCCCTGACCCATCAACCACATCCATCCTGACCAAGTTTGATGACAAAGGAGCAAAAATGTGAACTCTAGTGTGCAAACAAGGTTTTTTCCACATTTGGGCAGTGTGACCTAGCTTTTGACCCCAGGAGACTCATATTCAAACTTGACCTAGAAATCATCAAAAAAACCTTCCTGACAAATTTCCAGAATATTTGGATCAAAACTGCAGCCACAAGAGTATTAACAAGCTTTTTCTATTTTTAGCTACTGTGACCTAGTTTTTGACCGGAGATGACCAATATTCAAACTTGACCTAGAAATTATCAAAACAACCTTCCTGACCAATATTCAGGATATCTGGATCAAAATTGCAGCCACTAGAGTGTTAACAAGCTTTTTCCATTTAAGCTCATTTGACAGAGTTTTTGACCGGAGATGACCCATATGCCAACTTGACCTAGAAATCATCAAAACAACCTTCCTGACCAATATTAAAGATATTTGAATCAAAACTGCAGCCACTAGAGTGTTAACAAGCTTTTTCTATTTTTAGCTCCTGTGACCTAGTTTTTGATCCGAGATGACCCATCTTTGAACTTTAACTAGAAATCATCAAACACATCCTATTGACAAATTTCCATAATATCTTGATCAAAACTGCAACAACTAAAGTGTTAGGAAAATTTTTCTATTTTTAGCTCCTGTGACCTAGATTTTGACAGGAGATGACCCATATTCAAACTTGACCTAGAAATCATCAAAACAACCTTCCTGACATATTTCCAGAATATTTGGATCAAAACTGCAGCCACTAGTGTTAAGAAAATTTTTCTATTTTTAGCTGCTGTGACCTAGTTTTTGACCGGAGATGACCCATATTCAAACTTGACCTAGAAATCATCAAAACAACCGTCCTGACAAATTTCCAGAATATTCAGATCAAAACTGCAGCCACTTAAGTGTTAACAAGCTTTTTCTATTTTTAGCTCCTGTGACCTAGTTTTTGACTGGAGATGACCCATGTGCGAACTTGATTTGCAAATTATCAAAACAACCTTCCTGACAAATTTCCAGAATATGTGGATCAAAGTGCTGCCACTAGACTGTTAACAAGCTTTTTCTATTTTTAGCCCCTGTGACCTTGGTTTTGACCCGAGATTACCCATCTTCGAACTTGACCTAGAAATCATAAAAACAACCTTCCTGACAAATTACCAGAATATTTAGATCAAAACTGCAGCCACTAGAGTGTTAACAAGATTTTTCTATTTGTAGCTCCTGTGACCTAGTTTTTGACAGGAGATGACTCATCTTCACACTTGACCTAGAAATCATCAAAACAACCTTCCTGACCAATTTCCAGAATATTTGTATCAAAACTGCAGCCACTAGTGTGTTAACAAGCTTTTTCTATTTTTAGCTCCTGTTACCTAGTTTTTGACCTGAGATAACCCATCTTCGAACTTAACCTGTATTTCATTGTGACAAACATTTTGACAAAGTTTGATAACAATCCAATCAAAACTGTGACTGCTAGTGTTAACAACCCAATTGTTGACGATGAACGACGCACAACGCCGGACATAGCCCCATCACTATACCTCACCTGACCTAAAAAAATAAATATTTTATCCATATTTGGGCTGTGTGACCTAGTTTTTGAACCCAAGTGACCCAAATTCAAACTTAACATAGAAATCATCAAAGCCACCTTCTGACAAATTTCCAGGATATTTGGATCTTAACAGTTTGTTTGTTTGTATTGGGTTTTACGCCGATTTTAACATCTGATTTGGTCATATCTCCGAGGTCAGTCCATCTAACCGGCTTTCCCGGGTACCTAATCAGTACTAACCAACTTCTCCGCTAGTGACTGACTACATATCCCACATGATCTACACTAGATCAGAGGTGAGAGACAAAAGGCCATTAGACACAATGTTCATGATCAATTGTCAAAGCCAAGCCTGGGGATCGAACCAGCGACTTAAGGATTACTAATCCACTGCTCTACCTATTGAGCTAACCGGGCAGGCCGGATCATAACAGTAGCCCCTAGAGTGTTCACAGTGTTTTTCCATATTTGGGCTGTGCGACCTAGTTTTTGAGCCCAAATGACCCATATTCAGACTTGACCCAGAAATCATCAAAGCAACCTTTCTGACCAATTTACAGGTTATTTAGATTAACACAGTAACTCCTAGAGGCTTTTCAATATCTGGGCTGTGTGACATTGTTTTTGATCCTAAGTGACCCATATTGGACAATGACCTAGAAATCATCCATACAATCTTTCTTACCGATTTCCAAGATATTTGGACTGGAACAGTAGCTCCTGGAGTATTAACAAGGTTTTTTTCATATTTTGGCTGTGTGACCTAGTTTTTGACCCCATGTGACTCATTTTTTGAACTTGACTTAGAAATTATCAAAACATCTTTCCTGATAGATTTCAATGAATTTGGATCAAAATAGTAGCCACTAGAATTTTAATTAGAATTTTCTATTCTTAGCTCATGTGAATTACTTTTTGACCTGAGATGTCCAATATGTGAACTTGACCTGTACTTCATTGAGACAAACATTCTGACAAAGTTTGATTATGATCAAACTAAAACTGAGACTGCTAGAGTGTTACAACCTTAAATGTTGACAACACAGTATGTCAATGTCATCTTACTGCATGTCAATTTATGACATCAAGACAAGACCAGAATTTAGGTGGTAATTCAACATGTTGCACAAAATTCTATGGTGATCAAAATGTAGGCTTTGATCTTTGACTCCATGATCCCATAATCAACAGGGGTCATCTATTGACCGAGAGCAATCAATCCAAGAAGATTGAAAGTTATGGGCCAATGGGTTGTTGAGTTATTACAGAAAACTTTTGACAGACATGGTCAATGTGACCTTGATCTTTGACCCAGAAATCTGTGAGGGTCATCTACAGGCCAAAACCAATGTATCTGTGGAATTTGAAGGCCAAAGACCCATGGGTTGTTGAGTTATTACTTGGAACGTGTTTTTACCTACAATGTCAATGTGATCTTGACCTTTGACTCAATGCCCCTAAAATCAATAGGGTCATCTGATGACCAAGAGCAATACATCTGTAATGTTTGAAGGTCTAGGGCCAATTGGTATAGAAACTGTTTTGACATACAAGGTCATTGTAAATTAGATCTTTGACCCCTTGACCCTGAAATCATTAAGGGTCATCTACTTGCCAAGACCAATGCACTTGTGAAGTTTGAGGGCTAAGGGCCCATGGAGTGTTATTGATCGGAAACTGTTTTAACATACAAGGTCAATATGACCTTGACCTTTGACCCTTGACCCCAAGATCAGTAGTGGTCATTTACTGGTCATTTACTTTCCAAGACCAATACAACTGTGAAGTTTGGAGGTCAAAAGCTCATGCGTTGTAGAGTTATTGGTCGGAAACCATTTTGACACTCAAGGTAAATTTGACCTTGACCTTTGACCTAAAGATACCATAGACAATAGGGGTTATCTTCTGGTGATAACCAATCTTCACACCAAGTTTGAAGTTCCCAGGCTTAGATGTTCTTTAAGAATCAGGGCTCCCGTTTGATAAAATTTGGGGCCGAATTTCGGCCCCATTTCCCTGTCAAAAAAGTGTATTTTTTCTTTCCCCCTAAAACCAAAAAAAATCCCCCTTGAAATTAATATTTAACAGCCATAGAAAACACCCCTCGGCCAATATATATTCCGTGAACAGCAACCGGAAATTAGTATGTATTCTGCGAAGGGCAATCTGAAATTTGTACAGATTTATAAATAAAACATTCCAGACAGTTTTAAGCATTGTCAATATTTACAAAATGAAGCATTTCAATAAATAACGGAAATATTTCATGAAAGCAGCAGCTTATTGTTGTTCATTTGTTAACTGAATCTTACATTCACTTGTTTTTTTTCTGAATTAATTTTCTTCTGTTGAAATTCCCCCTTGAATGAAAAATATTTGAAAATCATGCAAAATTCCCCCCTTCCATGGACCCTTGCCCCAGTCTCAATATGCTAACGAGAGCCCTAGTTATTGATGGAAACCATTTGGTCTGTGGACCGACCAATTGACATCCTACCAACCTACCGAATGACAGACAAATGCACAGCACTATATTCCCACTTCTTTGAAGGGGGGGGGGGGGGGTGCAAAAGTATTGTTTTATCACTTTATTCTCTTTTGTTTTTATAAGTAATATAGTAACTCAGATAGCAAGCTTTCATCTAAAGTTATCAGTGTTTATTCACAACAGAAGCTAGCTGGTTGTGTAGTTATTGAATAGAAACTGTGTTGACGTACAAGGCCAATTTAAATTAGATCTTTGACCCCGAAATCATTAGTGGTCATCTATTTGCCAAGACCAATGCACCTGTGAAGTTTGAGAGCCAAGGACCCATGGATTGTTACTGGTCGGAAACTGTTTTTATCAGTAATATAGTAACTCAGATAGTAAGCTTTCACCTAAAGTTATCAGTGTTTATTCACAACAGAAGCTATTGACATTTACATGAAAAGAAATTAAAGACCTGAACATTTCTGGAAGTGC